GTGAGTGTGTGTGTGTGTGTATTCACCTAATTGTATTCATCTAGTTGTGCTTGCGGGGGTTGAGCTCTGCTCTTTCGGCCCGACTCTCAACTGTCAATCAATCAACTGTTACTAAATACTATTTTTTTTACACACACACACACACACACCAGGGTGCAGCCAGTAGCAGCTGTCTAACTCCCAGGTACCTATTTACTGCTAGGTAATAGAGGCATCAGGGTGAATGAAACTCTGCCCATTTGTTTTTCCGCCGACGGCCGGGATCGAACCCTGGACCCTAGGTCCATGAATCTAGAGCGCTGTCCACTCAGCCAGTTTTCATCAGTCAGTTATTCTGTCCAATTTCTTTACTGCATCTCACTCCCTCCTCTGTCTCTAATCACCCTTTCTTCCCCCCTCACTTATTTCCTCGTCCAATTTCTCTGCTTCAATTCTTCTCCTTAATCATCCGTGTCATTAATCCCCCTCCAAAAAAAATCATCTTCTCGAATCATTTGATAAATTCTCTTCATATTCCATTCACCCAACAAATTCCTCCTACTTCATTCATCGGAAATGTTCCTCATTTCATGCCAAATTCATCTACCAACCTCATCCAGCAAATTCATCCGCCGCGCTCATTATTCTACAACATTCCCCTTCACCCATTTTTTATTAATCAAGAGACCATGGGGTGCCTAAGGAGAGCCCAAGTAAGCCTCCTTCCCACTGCTGGGTTCCAAGCTGGAATCTAATGAAGGCTTTGCCGTTAACCTCCCTCTCTCGATCACTTGTTTGTTCTCACTAATTTGGGCCAGCAGAATAGAGCATTCGCTCCTGAACCCCGCCTTTCTAACAGCTGGTTGTCTAATGCAGTGAGTCCTATCATTTTCCTTGTCATGTGTACTGTATAAATTATTACTGAAATTCACTTCTACAACTTGCTCATTTAGTTCACACACACACACCACACACACACACACACACACACACACACACACACACACACACACACACACACACACACACACACACACACACACACACACTGATGAAGGCAATCAGATGCCTCCTGTGAGGCAATCGTGCCTCACAGGTCTAATAGAATTCTATGATCAAGCAACAACAAATTAGGCAAATAATGTTCGACTGCACACAACTGGGTGAGTACACACACACACACACACCACACAAAGGTGAGGCAGACTGCTAATTTCTTGAACTGTCAGAAAGCCTTTGACACAGTACCCCACAAAAGGCTGCTACAAAAGTTGGAGCAACAGGCAGGAGTAAAAGGTAAGGTGCTCCAGTGGATGAGGGAGTATCTAAGCAACAGGAAATAGCGAGTAACTGTGAGGAGGGAGGCATCAGGGTGGAGAGATGTCACCAGCGAGGTTCCACAGGGCTCTGTATTTGGACCCATCCTTTTTCTAATATATGTAAACGACCTTCCAGAGGGTATAGACTCATTCCTCTCAATGTTTGCTGATGATGTAAAAATTATGAGAAAAATCAAAACAGATAAATATAGACAGAGACTATAGGATGACCTAGACAGGTTGGAGGAGTGGTCTAGAAAATGGCTACTAAAGTTCAACACAAAACAGTGAATAGTAATGAAATTAGGCAAAAGGGAGCAGAAGACTGAACACAAGGTACCATCTGGGAGGTGAAATCCTCGCGAGTCAAACAGAGAGAATGATCTGGGGCTTGATATCTCACCGAACCTGTCTCCAAAGGCCTATATCATAAGGATATCATCAGCGGCATATGCTAGACTGGCCAACATAGGAACTGCCTTTTGAAACTTGTGTAAGAAATCGTTCAGGACCTTGTATACCACTTATGTCAGACCAATCCTGGAGTATGCAGCTCCAGCCTGGAGTCTATAACTAGTTAAACACAAGACAAAGTTAGAGAAGATTCAGAGGTATGCCACTAGACTGGTCCCGGAACTGAGAGGCATGAGCTACGAGGAAAGGCTAAGAGAGCTGAACCTCACATCCCTGGAAAACAGAAGTGTAAGGGGAGACATGATAAACACTTACAAAATTGTCAGGGGAAATTGACAGGGTGGACATAGAAAAACTTTTTAGCACGGGTGGAACACGAACAAGGGGACACAGGGGGAAACTTAATACCCAGATGAGCCACAGAAACATTAGAAAGAATTTTTTCCGTATCAGGTTAGTTAACCAAATGGAATGCATTACGTAGCGATGTGGTGGAGGCTGACTCCATACACAGTTTCAAATGTAGATATGATAGAGCCCAGTAGGCTCAGGAATCTGTACACCAGTTGATTGACAGTTGAGTGGCGGGACTAAAGAGCCAGAGCTCAACCCCCGCAAGCACAACTAGGTTAGTACACACACACACACACACACACACACACACACACACACACACACACACACACACACACACACACACACACACACACACACACAACACAGCCTCAATTACTCCACTCTCTCCCCTTTTATCTTCCGCAGCGACCTCTAATAGACTTTCTGACAATTACATTCCCCGGTAATAGCCTCTACTGTTTTTCTAAGTCACCTTTTCTCTAAAATACTTTATCATCTACCAAATTTACACGAGTGGCTTTCATGCTATAAACAACACGATGACAGCGTGTGTGTCAATAAATTTTAGATATTAAAACAAAAGAGCATCGCCCAGAAAGCAATCAAGTTAATCGAATACCACCAAGAAGCCACACAGCGGATCCCGTCGCGACTCCGAAGCGGTTCCTGCTGCTTCTGCCTCACTGATTCCACACTAGATAAATTGTTCCCACTTTCTCCCGTACCATGATTTTTGGAGCTCCGGGAGTTTGTGGATGTTTAAGTCGGTTCTGTTGCTCCTTATAGGTAACAGTAGCTCCCTATTGTCACTCCAGAGTGACGTAGCCAGTCCGGAGACTTACGGAACAATTTGGGAGTAGGAAAATTGATAAAGAATTGTGTTTTATCCATATTTGTGTAAAAGGTAATATCATATTCAAAGAATTCTTTAGAGCCGAGTATTACTGGAAATAGTGAGGCATAAATACGTGGTTCAGTAATGTGTAGGTAATCACGCAGATAGAAATTAAAAAAATCCGAGCGTTGTCGTGCATTAAACACACTATCATATAATGCAGAGTTACATCGTTAGCCTTGATAATGGGTTCAATTCACGAAAGAGCTTGGATTTTAAATTATCTTTCTTTTCATTTGTTTGCGCATGTTCATATGTATGTATGTATGCATGTATGCATGTATGTATGTATGTATGTATGTATGTATGTATGTATGTATGTATGTATGTATGTATGTATGTATGTATGTATGACACAAATGGCTTTAGCAGTCATGTGTGTGGCCACTCCTGGATATGGTCAAGGTCTTTTAATTCCACACTACAAAGAGCCATAGTTTATAATGTCTTCTCTTGTTTCTTTTCTTTTGCAAAAATTCCTAAGTACGAGTTCATACCCTAAGGTATGTTTATATAGACAGTTACAGAGTTCAGAAACATTGACAGGACCAGGATCGACCTATAACCCCGGCAAGGGGTTGAATCGGTTGAAAAATACTGTCCTTTGTTTGCAGGTTTTAGTGTGTGTGAACTCACCTAGTTGTGTTTGCGGGGGTTGAGCTCTGGCTCTTTGGTCCCGCCTCTCAACCGTCAATCAACAGGTGTACAGATTCCTGAGCCTATCGGCCTCTGTCATATCTACACTTGAAACTGTGTATGGAGTCAGCCTCCACCACATCACCCCCTAATGCATTCCATTTGTCAACCACTCTGACACTAAAAAAGTTCTTTCTAATATCTCTGTGGCTCATTTGGGCACTCAGTTTCCACCTGTGTCCCCTTGTGCGTGTTCCCCTTGTGTTAAATAGACTGTCTTTATCTACCCTATCAATCCCCTTCAGAATCTTGAATGTGGTGATCATGTCCCCCCCTAACTCTTCTGTCTTCCAGCGAAGTGAGGTTTAATTCCCGTAGTCTCTCCTCGTAGCTCATACCTCTCAGCTCGGGTACTAGTCTGGTGGCAAACCTTTGAACCTTTCCAGTTTAGTCTTATCCTTGACTAGATATGGACTCCATGCTGGGGCTGCATACTCCAGGATTGGCCTGACATATGTGGTATACAAAGTTCTGAATGATTCTTTACACAAGTTTCTGAATGCCGTTCGTATGTTGGCCAGCCTGGCATATGCCGCTGATGTTATCCGCTTGATATGTGCTGCAGGAGACAGGTCTGGCGTGATATCAACCCCCAAGTCTTTTTCCTTCTCTGACTCCTGAAGAATTTCCTCTCCCAGATGATACCTTGTATCTGTATCTGTGTGTGTGTGTGTGTGTGTGTGTATCTGTGTGTGTGTGTGTGTGTGTGTGTGTGTGTGTGTGTGTGTGTGTGTGTGTGTGTGTGTGTGTGTGTGTGTGTGTGTTTATAGAGCCGATGTGAGTGCAAAAAATAATTTAAACAAAAAGATGATATAAATATATATCTAGAATACCCGAAGAGCAACATGAATACACGCAACCTGTCCTCCTAAAAAGAACGTCGCATTTTGATCGTATGCATTACATAATACCAAAAATTGTCGTACTAGAAAATGGAAGCAGCTGGCGAAAGTGACGTACTGTCCCGTTTTCTATTTTGGGTCCTCTGGTAGGTTAGGAGAGAACACTTTTAACTGACCGTTTTCTGGACGTTGAGAAACCTTAGAAGAACAGCCTGGTACACGAATATAAATTAAGTCGCGCCGCTGATACAGTTTTATGTAATAATCACTGCTATAATTCTTTAACATGCTGCTTGTAATATATGAATATTATTACTGTTTTATAGGAAAAATTATAGTATTTTGGTCAATCCACCAACTCTCTGTGTGTGTCTCTCTCTCTCTCTCTCTCTCTCTCTCTCTCTCTCTCTCTCTCTCTCTCTCTCTCTCTCTCTCTCTCTCTCTCTCTCTCTCTCTCTCCATCAATTTTTTGTAACAAGCTTCTTCCTTTCACAACAGGTCAGCTACCTGGTGGCGGCGACGGAGGCGACGAAGGAGACAAGGAAAAGGAAGAAGAAGCCGAGAGAGAGCGTCTGGAAGCCATCAGGGAGGCAGAGGACAGGCGTAAGGAGAAGCACCGCAAGCTGGAAGAGGAGCGAGAGGGAATGAGACAGGGCATCAGGGACAAGGTAGGTCAGGACGCGGGTGGTCCTCCTTGGTACCTGGGTCGTCACCCACTGGGAACACGAGACGGTTGTCTGGAGGGGGAATGGAGATCAGAAAAGGTCGTTTAGAGACCCCAGGAGTGCCAGGCTTGGGACACGAGACTGTTATCTGGGGGAATGAAGATCAGAAAAGGTCGTTTAGAGATCCCAGGAGTGTCAGGCTTGGGACGCGAGACTGTTATCTGGGGGGAATGAACATCAGAAAAGGTCGTTTAGAGACCCAGGAGTGTCAAGCTTGGGACACAAGACGGTTATCTGGGGCAAGGTCGGTCAGAAGTAGTTTAGAGACCAAGGCGGGCACACCTGGATCATGATATAGGTTATCTGCGATACGATTGGGTAGATTTGGTCACTCAGGGGTCGAAGAGGCTCTGTCATGGTCATCTTGAAGGAAAGTGGGGCCATGAGTTGTTATTTATGCTTTGGAAGGTCCCTTTGAACCGCGATGCGGCCTATGGATCAGTATGGGTAGGAAGAGGTCCTTGGGAATTTATTTCCGATCAGGAATTAAAATATAATAAACGAGGAAGGGTAAAAGCAATCTCATTAGCAAATTAGAATGATTATTTTGAGTCACTATACAGGATTAGAGATTTGAAAAAAGCCTCTATATTTTCAGAAGTCACGTGTCGATTAAAAAAAATCCAATTGATTGTACCTAAAAAGATCGAAAATAATAATCAAGACGGTTGCTTTGTGTCCACTGATGGTCAAGATGGGTCATACTTGTTACAGAAGCTCCTACCGTGAACGTGGAAACAGAAAACTAAAGAACTTTATATAAAAGACTTCGCCAACTTGATAATGTAAAAATAATGAACTTTTGGTCACTATACACACATTCACACTAATGATTCAAAACTAAAAATAATCTATGCTTCGCCAAAGCACTTGGACTGGAAGGTAGAGCGACGGTCTCGCATCATGCAGGTCGGTGTTCAATCCCCGACTGTTCAAGTGGTTTGGCACCATTCCTTTTCCCCGTCCCTTCACAAATCCTTGCCCTCATTCCTATACTATATAGGAATGTTAATGACTTGACGCTTTCTTCTGACAGTTCCTTCCCCTTCCCCATGGTTCTGAGCCAATGTTGGTTCACGTGCTGGTTCATATATCGTTAAGTGCGTTAACAGCGATGACACCTCTGCCCCAAGGCAACTTTCTGAACTATATTATAAAGTGGTGTAAAATGTGTTTTGCATTGGGCGTTGGGGAAATTGAAGCAGACTGAATGTGCATTGTTTTAAAACAGTGTTTTGACTTCTCGGTCCACCTACCTTCTTCCATGCCTTCCCTCTCTCTCTCTCTCTCCCGCTCTCTCTCTTTCTCTCTCTCTCTCTCTCTCTCTCTCTCTCTCTCTCTCTCTCTCTCTCTCTCTCTCTCTCTCTCTCTCTCTCTCTCTCTCTCTCTCTCTCTCTCGCTCTCTCTCTCTTTCATCAATCTGTTTAAAATTCTCATGACTGTTGGGATGAAAATCTTCTTACCTGGTCAAGAACAGCACTCGATCAAAATTAATGGCAACCTAAACAACCTAACCTAATAGCAAAATATCTAACCTTTTGCCGTCAACCGTAAACATAGACCATGAAATTCTCCATTATAACGCGTAGAGAGAGAGAGAGAGAGAGAGAGAGAGAGAGAGAGAGAGAGAGAGAGAGAGAGAGAGAGAGAGAGAGAGAGAGAGAGAGAGAGAGAGAGAGAGAGAGAGAGAGAGAGAGAGAGAGAGAGAGAGAGAGAGAGAGAGAGAGATGGTCAAAAGTACATTGTGATTTGTTCTGAATACTCTGAGACAATTGTTAAGTCCAGGAGCCAGCTTCAAGGCGACCTTGTCTTATGAATTCATTAGCTAAGAAAAAAGCGAGGCACTATTTTTTAGTTTTTGCGGTGAGTTCATGGGGGTGAATTTGTGGCTGAGGTCCGGCCGTTTCTGTGTTCAGAGCAGCGTTCATGTCATAAATCCTGATTAAGCAGCGCTCTCCTGTTTCGACGTGGGTTCGTGTGACGTTAATTCTGATTGAGCGACACACTCGTGTTTGGAGGAGTGTTCGTGAAGCTAATTCTGATTGAGAGTCGAGCACTGTTTCAGATTGGAGTTCGTGTAGCTGAAATAGATCGCGGGGATAGAGTATAGGCGACCAGTCATGGTATTGGAGCAGGACCAGGGGCCAGATTCACGAAGCAGTTACGCAAGCATTTACTAAACCGGTACATCTTTACTCAATCTTTGGCGGCTTTGTTTACGATTATTAAACAGTTAATGAGCTCCGAAGCACCAGGAGGCTGTTTATAACAATAACAACAGCTGATTGGGAAGTTTTATCCTTGTAAACTCTTTAATAAATGTAACCAAAGAGTTCAAAGATTGAGGAAAGATGTACACGTTCGTAAGTACTTACGTAACTGCTTCGTGAATCTGGCCCCAGAATAGTAGACAATCTAACCCAACCTTCTCCTATCCAGTAAGTGGCACATTTACCCGTGATAGGTCTTTTTCCCATACTAGAGACGGACGAAGGAATGAATGGATAAATTTCACCGGATTTAGGAGTCTTTGTCTATCTTAACAGTAACTTCTTATTGCATGCAAGAGAACCACAGAGGAAAAACAAAAGAGCGTCAAATGTTTTCGCCTGAAAATATCATAGAGGTTTAAAATCCGCCGGAAAAAATCACAGAGGTTTAAACTCCACATACATGATACGCTAACAATACGCGATAGATATTAATTCAGTTTTCTTCTGGACACAAACGAGCTTTAAGTAGTGTTCTGTCCAACTCATCGAAGTTAATGAGGGACCATAACCCCCCCCCCCACTCACACCTCCCTCCCCTTGTGTACCAAACCACTCAACACCAGTCGGATTCCCCTCATTTGTCCAACTCATTCCCTCACTTCTTCTTGAATTCCACCCACACAATTTTAAAGGTTCCGCACCTTTCCCGTCCCTTCCCAGCCCTCCATCCCATCTCTGGCTGCCCCCCCCGTCCACCAGCGTCTAATCCCCGTCACCCTCCACCACCACCTCGCGACCCAAGGCTCAATGGACAGAACGTGGTGCAGGGGTAATGTCACCCTTGAATCCTCCTCCAATAAGACAAAGTTATGGAACTTTTTTTCTTTCTTTATTACCTAGTGGTTGTTTTTGTTTAGGTAGTTAGTGCATCTTGTTTTAAGGAGCACGTGGTGTTTCTTTATGAGCGAATGGCTGCTTTATAAACACGTGGTGTGGTTTATATACACGTGGTGTGGTTTATATACACGGTGTGTGGTTTATATACACGTGGTGTGGTTTATATACACGTGGTGTGGTTTATATACACGTGGTGTGGTTTATATACACGTGGTGTGTTTTATATACACGTGGTGTGGTTTATATACACGTGGTGTGGTTTATATACACGTGGTGTGGTTTAGAAACCGGTGGTGTGGTTTATAAACACGTGGTGTGTTTTGTGTGCAGGTATTGAGCATATCAACAGGTTGTAACACAAATTATATTAACACCATCAGCAGTAGTAACAACGCCAAATATGAGCAAAAAGAGAGCCACGAGAGAGAGTGAAACGAAAGTGAAATATGTGAAAGACACGATGACAGCAGCAGCAGCGGCAGCAGCAGTAGCATAAACAGGTGTAGCCCCCGCCACCAACAGCTGTAGCGACCAACTACAGCAGCGCCATTTGCAGCAGTCATTCCTCTCAGCACCAGCAATCAGCAGCAGCAGCAGCATGTGGGAACAGCTTTTCAGCAGCAAGAAAGATTACAGTAAACAACATGAAGGCCACGACTGGCAGCCGAGGATTAAATCCCAAAGATAAGATAAGAGGAACCACCAGGAATGGGTGGGAGAGAGAGAGAGAGAGAGAGAGAGAGAGAGAGAGAGAGAGAGAGAGAGAGAGAGAGAGAGAGAGAGAGAGAGAGAGAGAGAGAGAGAGAGAGACAGACAGACAGACAGACAGACAGACAGACAGACAGACAGACAGACAGAAGGAAAAGATTTTAGGAGTACGAAACAAATTTATTAAAGGAGGTGCTGAAATGCCAAATAATAACTCATTGTAGAAACAGACCCCAGCACGGTTGAGATATTATGAAATTTACAGGGACATAGAAAACGTTCTGTGTTAAAATCAATAATAAAGTTAATCGCTTCGAAATGTATCATATGTAATGTTTGAACTTTTAAGAAAGTGACCTTCAATTCTTGGTACATGTCTTGAGTAATTCAAAGCTCTTGCTAAGAGTAATTCTCGCATATACGGGGATCTTACACGCGTTTCACGGAAATGTTCGGTGCCTGATCAATGTAATACTCATTGAGTTTTAAGAGTAATTCCTTGTATTCATTACAGGTAATTCTTGGGGCGTATCCAGAGTCATTTTCGGTGAATTTCCAGGGTATTTCTCGATGCATATCCAGGATTATTCTCGGTGCATATTTAAGATCATTCACGATGATATCCAGGGTAATAATTCTTGACGGCTTTCTAAGGTAATTCTTGATGGTTATCCAAGGTAATTCTTGATACAAATCCAGGTCAATTCACGATACATATCCAGGGGTAATTCTCAGTGGTTATCCAAGATAATTTTTGATGCATTATCCAGGGTAATTATCGGTGGTTATCCAGGATAATTAATCCTAAGTATTCAGCGGCTCTTCCACTACATAAGCTTCTCCTCATTTGGTGATTGGTCCACTTCACCTCCTTCCACATATCATTGGCTCTTAACCTTAGTCAGCAGGACCAATCATGTCCCTGCATGGATCGTACTGTAAGGCAGCTAGGATTACTTTGATGACCTAACCACTTCACCAAAAAATGACGAAACGGCGACGTTTCAGTCTGTGATGGACCACTGGCTACACGACTTGCCTGTGGACCAGGACGGACCGAAACGTCGTCATTTCTCCATTTTCTGATGTATGGTTTGGTCACCATATCTTCAGCCACGTTATTGGATATGGAAGAAAATGTAGAA